ACTGAGGGAGGCCAGGACGGCCGAGGTGGCGCTCACAGCCACCCTCGCCCCAGCTGGGGAACTCGGCTGTCCAGCCTTTCCTCCCCCTGCCTTCCTTCGGTGCTCCATCTGCAGTCTTTCCTCCGAGTAATGCCGCAGGCACACTGAGTCCCGAAAGGCACCCTCTCTGGTCTCCAGTTAGGACGAGTCTGACCTGCTGGGGTAAGAAAGTGACAGTGGTAGCGCTGGCCTCCCAATGTCCTCCCTCTTCTCCAAAACCTTCTGGGACTCGAGACACTGGCACACACACCCCACCTTTCTCATAAAACGCCTGTCTATTTCATGAGGGACTGGTGGCTTCTCAGGGGCATTCCACCTCAGAAATAAGCAATGCAGACACCGGCTGCGGCCTCTGGGGAAGCCAGGACTGAAGGACTGGCAGCGGACCAAAAGGCCACCGAGGGGCTGACTTGTAGGAGTGTGTCCAGTTGGCGTCTTCGTCTGCTGGGCTGCCAGGTGCACTGAATCTTACTTTCTCACGGTTCTGGAGACTGGTGGTACAGGATCCGGATGTCGGCAGGGCTGGTTCCCGCCAAGGCCTCTCTTGGTTGGAAGGTGGCGTCCTGTCCCTGTCTTCACGTGGCTTTCCCTCTAGGTCTTTCTGGGTCCTGATCTCTCCCTGGATGAGGGCTCCTGCGCGGGCCCTCGTTTCACTTTACCAATCTTAAAAGGACTGTCCCCGAAGACAGTCACACGCCAAGGTTCCAGGCTTTGGATGTCGACAGCAACTTGAGGGACGCCATTCAGCCCGCAACAGTCAGCACCAGGAAAGGAGACGCGGAAGGAGAAGTGGAAGCACGCGGCGCTGAGGGCAGGGGCTTCCGCCCGTGTCCCCCTGTGTAGCACCCCGCCATTCCTCGGTCTTTCTACCCTTTGATACCAAGCCCCCATCCACATCTGCTCTGGGGCCTGGCCGGTCTCAGGCCCGATGACCATCCTCCCCATCCCAAACACAGAGCACACGCGGCCCCTCACGGGGCCCCTGCCTGCTGGCCACCACGACCCTGCAGCCTGCGGAGCCCACACTTACCTTCTGTCCAACAGCGCTTCCAGGGAGCCACGCCCCTTCCTGCGAGGTCAGGGAACCGGTCCTTCCCCAGGGAGTCCCCCACCCCACCCACATCGGTCTGCCCTAAGCTCTCAGCTCAGACGTCGCCGCCTCAAGACCAGAACGCAGCCGCCTCCCCAGCCTCTGTCACACTTCCCTGTTGCCGTTTTACTGCTGAGACCCGCCACACACCTGGAAGTGGAGAACCTGTGTCTGGTCTGTCCACCCCATCCATGCAGCCGCCAGGGTGGCAGCCAGCACCCAGGAAGTGCTTAATAAACGCTAGCTAAATCAAGCAAAGAGACACGAAGCATCACCTAGTGCAAACCGGGGATCGTGCAATCAATTTTGCATGGCCAGATGTACTCTGAGGTAGAAGCAGAGTGAAACCATTCATGATATCTAAATAGACGGAAAGGTGCACGGATACTGAGAGATCAGTAGAAAGCAGAAATGGAGACATTCCGTTAGGTCACACCCTTACAGGGGGTGTCTACTTCACACGTGTGAACGCAGCTCACCTTCCGCTTCAGTCCATGGCAGGAACCTGCAGTGTCCCTCACGGCTTGACTTGGGTTTAAAGCCAACAGGAATTCTTTACTTAGAGGTAAAGAGCCGGATTCCTGTGACGGCTCCAAGCACACCGCCTTTCCTGTTCTCCTTCACAGGAGGCAAGAAACACTAAAATTCTTGGAACAAGATGTGCCCCACACTGGAACCACTCAAATCTGCTGATAACACTCCACCTACCTCGACTAAATAATGAGGCGGCCACATGGTCACAGTCTAAGGGGACCTAGAACACAACTACCAAACCAAAGCAGCATCCCACACGTGATCCCTTTCGGCTCTGCACATGTGGAAACAGGCTCACTGTGCCCCTTGGGAGTGCGGGGATACAGACGGAGGAGCATGCACGCGTGGAACTGACTACGGTCACCACCTCGGAGGGAGCGGGAAGGAGTATACCTCAGTCTCCATGTGGTGTATGGGACAGATTTCCTACTTTTTTTTTTCATTTTTTTTGAGTTGGGAGTCTCACTCTGTCGCCCAGGCTGGAGCACAGTGGCACACTCACGGCCACCCCAGAGAAGACCGGCTGTGCTCCGGCAATCCTTCGGCCTCAGCCTTGCCAGTAGCCAGAACTACAGGCACATGCTACCAAGCCTGAAGGGCCACCGCCGGGTGCTAGCAAACCACATCCCCTCCTTTTTCCTGGAAAGGGGCCCAAACCCAGCCCCCGCCTAAAATGGCAACCCGGCAAACAAAGGGGGCGTCTGAAATGGCACTTTCCGGGTTCTTCTTCCACAGTCCGGCTCACCTTTTCCCACGCCCGCGAAAAATTCACCAACCTGGATGGAGCTCCGCCAGCCAACCAATAATCGACTGACGGGTCGCCCTAAACCCCCATAAAGGTTGGCGTGCCCTTGTTTCAGCGCTACAGCCTGACCCTCAGGTCCTGTAGCCACCGCGTTGGACCCATTAAATCTCTTGGCCTTAACAGGTGTTGAGTCTCACTGTGTGCCACTGTCTTTCAACGCCCAACTAATCTTTTATTTATTGTAGAGACAAGGTCTTGCCAAGTTGCCCAGGCTGGTGTCAGATCCCCAAGTTTAGGCAATCCACTCGCCTCGGTCTCTCAAAGTGCTGGGATGACAGGCTGAGCCACTGAGCCAGGCCAGATTTCTTACTTTTAACAGGAGTGTTTTGCTAGTGTTTCTATCTTTCTGGTACTTGAACTATACGTATAGTCCTGGTTATTCTAAACACATGAAAGCAAAAGGTCCTAGTAACTGCTAATGAGAAACATTTTTTTTAAAAAAGAGGCCGGACTCTTCTGGGCTCAAGCGATCCTCCTACCCCAGCCTCCCAAGGAACTGGGACTAAAAGTGCCACTGCACCCAGCTTGAGATACTGTTTTACACTAGAAAAAAAGGCTGTTCTTCATATAAAGATCACATCACTTGCATCAACTCAGACTACTGAATGGTTTTGGTTGTGTTTGTTCTCTACCCTCCCCCAGCAAAGGGACATAAATCCTGTTTTATGAGTCTCAATTATTTTATATACATGGCAAGACTCAAGTTCAGCTGAGCTTCTTGGTAAGTAATTCTTTTTATGCTAAAGAAGAAACACCAAGTAAATCAGAAAAGTCATATAAACCAGAAAAATAATACTGACATAAGAAATCTCCCAATAATTTACCTGAGAAAAGTAAAATTCAATTTTGCGAGCTTAGCAGTTCAGAAAAGTGAAAATTCACTCAAGCGGTATTCCATAGTCAATTTCTTTACTAGAAAGAAAACCTAAAACTCAAAGGACAGCTTGACCGAATACACTTTTTGAATTCAAAGGACATTAAGCTGAAGGCCTGAGTCTCTCCTCAAATTCCGCTTTATCAGTGATCAAACATTCAGAGCATTCCTCACAACAGGTAAGGCAATGTGTCAACAACTGAGACAGAGGAACCCTACTCATTGCCAGAAGCCATGTCTTCCCCAGTCTAATTAACAGGAAAACAAAACCTCTCCAAAGATGCAAATCTACCCCTTTATTAAGCTAAGCAGACCTGGGTCAGGTGTCTCAGAAATTATCGACTTGATCACTGGTTCAGAGGCTAAAATATTCATGAGTCCCTATACACAGTCAAGGTACCAAGGGCACCATAAGTCAGTCAATCTCACAACATGTGGGTTCCAAATAAGGAACAAAAACCTCCTAACCCAAAGTTCTGCATCCTTTTAATAGATAAGTCAACAGAAACCTAATAGCTTAGTGATGAAACCCAGTTTTCTAGGGATTAAAACGCTTTATGTACTTTACATCTAGAGGTAAACACTTGCATTTGTAAGAGATAAGCTTGAGAGGGAAGTAATGGAACCTCTCGGTGAGAGCTGTCTGACACCCACATCTGCAAATGTACACTATCGGATGCCTCCCCAATGGTCAGTTCCTGCATTCAGTGAAAGAAGTCAGTTTTGAGTATTCGTGATGAATATTTGAGAAAAATATTCTCATCCAGGTTAACTGTTGTTTAGAAGGCTCTATACCAATATCAAAATTGCTTCTTCCAATAAAAATGGAATTGTTTTAATTATCTGATGCCTGTGACTACTTTGTATTTTCATAAGCACGAGAAAGGCACACCTCATCAGGGAGCCATCACTGGCAAGGGAATTTATATTTATTTGGATACCGTAGGCTTCTGAAAATTTTGTGCGACACTTGTGATAGCTGTGCCAATAATCAGCCTCATCTAAAATTCTTTCAGCCCAAACCCAAATCCCAAGAAAAATCATTTTGACTGAAAGATTTCATTTCACTCACTGTAAAGTCCAACATAAGCCAGATGTTTCAGCAGTCCTAAATGACATTTTGTTGCTACAGCAACAAAACTCTGCTACCTGTGGCCACGATTTGTTAAAAATTCCTCCAATGAGTAAATTCTGTGCCGTGTATTCATAAAGCCAATAGAATGACTCAAAGCAGCATAAAAATGAAGACTTGATTTCCTGCTTACCATTTACCCACACACATACTTGCAACATATATGCAGGCACGTATGCCCCCCACACGCGTGATGATGATTCTCAACTCCACCAAAGCCGTAAAACCATACCAAATTTCCATTTTCAAATGGGCACAAGACAACGGCTGCGTTTCACTGAAGATTTCACCAAATAACTGCTCCTTGTTTCCCAGAATATATCTTCACAGAGATGTATTTAGAGAGAATTTTCCAGACAAACAAACAAAAAATACTACCTATACCCAATCTCCCTCCAAGATGGAAAAACAAGACACTGAGGCAGGCTCTCCCTTCTGTCCCAGGGCCCACGGCTTCTGAAGCCATGCCTGACTCAGCATCGAGCCAGAGTCGGGACAGACGCAGACCCCGCCGGCAGGTACTCACCCTCACCGGGGGGCTCCAGGCTTGCACCCGGGGCTGCTGCCCGCCCTGGGAGCTCGGCAGGTCCTTCGGGCTGCAGTTCGCCACAGCACTGCCCGGGGCCCTCACCGCGGCCGTGCAGTTGGGGCCGGCGCCGGCGCCGCCGCCGGGGCCGGGGCCGGGGCCGGGCTTCCACGGCCTCTGCTTGATGCCGTCCAGCAGTCTGACCAGCAGGATATTGCTGGGGAGCTCCTCCACCCCCGAGCCCACCAGGGTCCTGCACTCCGGGCACCGCAGCTCATGCCGGGAGCCCACGATGCCCAGCAAACAGCGCTTGCAGAACGTGTGCTGGCAGGGCAGGACCTTGGCCGAGGCGTCCAGGCGCTCCAGACACACGGGACACTCCAGGAGGTCCAGCAGGGCAGACTCGTCCATCTCCGTCCGCGTCAGGAGAAGTCAGCTTCAGGAAGGCACACCGCGGCGCGCGTCCCTCCTCGCCGTGCTGCGACGTCCATCTCAGACCTGCCCTGGGCGGGGAGAAGCCAGAGTGTTGTCTGGGGGCCAGGC